AAATAAGGTGGGCCATCATCATACGGGAGCCTTCCAAGTTTGGGGCGGTTTAGGGTTGGTTTACCAAATTGTTGTGGCGATGTACTTTCAGGCATTTGGGCAATGTCGACTGAATTTAGACAACGTATTTCATCATAGCCCGGGGAGGTCGTTTGACAACAATTTGCCTAACATTTACCTTGCCAAATTGACCTACTTAAATATCAGTGTTTCAGGGCACTGTAGAGTCTAACGCTTAATGACACATCTCTCTCAAAACTAAATAGTGATGTTTTCCATGTTGAATGGGTTTTATGATGTTCTTGTTCGAGTGCAGCTATATTAAGTTGTTCCAAATATGGCCAACTATGATTTGGATTATCTAAATTCATTCTAATAGAGGGTTTTGTATGTCATTCTGCGTTCAATATTTCTTTGCTTCTGTTTCAGTTATGCATTACTATGAAAATTGTAATAGTGATAGTTTAATGAGTTAAATTTTTTTGCCATATTCCAGACATTGTTATTGTATTTCAGGCGGTTCAACTTCTCTGAGTTATGTAGAAATTTTTTGAGTTCTTGCAAGGCAACTATTTAACATATTTGTTTTTTGTCTTGCTAATGCTAATACTTCATATTGGATGAAGGGATACATGGAATAATCTGATTTTATGCAAGTATTATTGTCCGATTCATCTATTTTCTCAATGGATTATTTCTTGATTCATATTTTTGGTATACTATGGTGCCAGCATCTGTGTACCTTGGATTTGCTGCTTCAATAATATGGGTTGCACAGGTTCAATATATTGTTTAACATCTCAGTAATAAATGGTTGGTCCAATTAAGCTATTGTGTTTTCCTCTTACCTTTGTGTCTACTATCAGGGGACGTTTCTTACTTCCACGGCTCATAACTTGTGGTTGCAGGAAGGAGCATTTGCACAGCTTAAGTTTTGGCAAAGTGCTTCAATTGCATTGGTGTTCTTTATTAGTTCATCTATTTCATTGCAGACAATGGTCATAATCTTGCTCGCTGCACTCTGCGTTTCAGTAGCTGGGTTTCTTTTTCTCATGCTTAAGATCGAGAAAGCATTTTCATATTGTGCTTCCTGAACTTCACAAACGAGATTTTGTGATGTCATCCTAGGATTTGCATCTTCTATGTTAATATCCCCAAAAATGTTAAAAACAAGTATCCATAATCCTCAAGTGTCCATTGTTCAAAAAATCCATAGTTTGATTGTTATACGTTTCCCAGTTGATCTTGAGCATGGCAGTCGTCGGACATTTTGTTTCGACTGAAGAAGAAAATGTTTTCTAACAAGGCTACTGTTTTCTGCTGCCAAAAAATGTTGCTATAAGTGCAAAGTGATTTTTACTTTTTCATTTTGTTGATCTAATCGGTTGTTTGCAGAAAGGGCTCTTGGGAGCCATTGTTATTCCTGTAGTATATGAAATGCCAGTTTTTATGTGCTGATGAAAGAGAGAAGAAACCTAGAAAAAGAATTCAAGCCATTTAGGTCGTGTTTGATACACTGAATGGAAGAGGATTAAAGAAAACTGTGGGGAGAATAGAATTTGTCACTTGTTTTGTCCGGTCATGTTCAATTCTATGTATCAAGTATGTCGTGTAATAGAATGTATTTTCTCAATTATTTTACAGTATGGACATTTTTGTTCCAAAAAATGTATCGTGCTTAAAATCATACAATGTTAAATTCCTACATTTGTAACCCAGCCACTTTCATCCTAATATAGGTGACTTTCTCCTGTCTTTGCGACCCAACAAAACCAGTCTCTCTTGACATTTTCCTAACCAACTAAACTTAATCTTTCAAAATTAGTTGAGATTAGGTCAACCTTTATTTGTGTACAATTTGCATGCTTGCATTTTGATCATAAACAGTTATAATTTTCAAATTTGTGCTTAGAGTTTTGATCCGAGCGTTTTAAAAGTTTCCACAAGAATTGTTGAAATGAGTTAGTTTATTCAACTCAATTTTCCGAAGGCTGTTCTCACAGGAGCCTCTGCTGCTCTTCGCCGCCACATGGACGTCGATTCTGATTCGACGCTGGCTGTCGCATCGTTCTGGCCGGAGTTGGCAGGCATGTCATAGAGCAGGGTATTCGAGGTTACCACTGGATATTCCAGGGGAGAATTTTTTTTTTTACTGCTCAGCTTTTCAGAAGATGCAAAATGGATATCATGGTTCCACCGGTTTTTGCTGCCGTTATTGTCACGAGCGCCTCTTACGCGGTTATAGCTCTGGGCTTGTGGGAGGTAGACGATGATCAATGCTTGTAAGACGTTCGGCGCATTTCTTTCAATTTATCCTCGTACAATTTGTCATTTTTTAATTTTGTCCGAATTCTATTCTATCACAGAGTATATCGATTTTTTCAAACAAACATCGAGGGTTTTTGACACAAATCATATTCGAACGAGTTCCCATTTTTTTTTTTTTAATTCTTATTCTTGATTTTCTGTCCTGTCAGCTATACATGACATTTTGGAGACAGTATTTCTCATTTTAATGCATATTTTACTGTTTATTAGTTTTATTCTGTTGTGATATCAATTTGCAGTGTTGAGCAGATAAACAAGGCATTGTTGACATTTTTTTTTATTGAATTGGACCACATTGATAACATTAACAGATAAATTTGTCAAATCACATATGTTTTGTTGCAGTCTGGGTTCTAAATTCTTTGCATATCAAGAAATTAGACACATTTTATAGGGAAACAGACATTTTCATGTGTTTTGAGCTGCATCAACCAACTTGTTGCTGAAATCCCAGAGCCTCTTGGCCAAGTCTTCATCTCTCGCAAACGAGCTCGACTTGAACTCGTTGCAGTCGACAAAATACTTCCCCGATACACCTTTCAACGAAGGGTGGAGTGCAACATAGCAAGTCGTGGCTGCCCCCTGAAAATCATAATTTATGCAGAAATCTAAATAGTGTTCGTTCCGTTCATGCTGATATATTGTGTGGTAGTGAGACATCGTGATGATTTACCTGAGGGACGTTTTTCCATAGGATATATGTCAAGTACTTCAAACTTTCTGAGAAGAAATCTTCGTAAATACGAGAAAATTTTAAAAAAAGGTAGAAGAAAAAATATTTGGTTATATTTTAGTGCATACTTATGAGAATAGAAGAATGTCTGTAGAGATTGGTAGTTATCAAGCCTGGATGCACTGAATTGACAGTAATATTTGCTCCCTCAGCCTGCGTCCGAAATGTACGATTTAAACATCTTTCAAACACAAACTTCACAGGGAAAATGAAAAAGTCGTGTACCAGCAAACGTCGTGAGAGCTCGTTGGCATGTAATATGTTAGCTAATTTGGATTGTCCGTACGCTTTCTTGTCTGAATAACTGATATGGTGCAACAGCAGTGAAAACACATATACGTTGTCTTAAAATTTGGTAGTTTTAATTTTGTACAAGAAAATACCTGGTTTCTTCATTGATTTTATCAAACTGAATCCCTTCATCGTAAGTGTGAAGATGTGCTACTGACGTCAAATTTATAATCCTGCCCTGAATGCCAGTAGACTTTGCTGTCTCTTTCATTTTGTCAAGGAGAAGGTTAGTCAAGTAGAAATGACCTGAGAAACGAACAATAAAGAGAATTCACGATTAGAAATGTGGATAGTACTCGACAATACTAAACACTATAGTCAACAAGCTTACTGAACAAGTCATAACCCCGATGCATACCAAGATGATTTGTTGCAAATTGCATCTCTATTCCATCTTCAGAAAGCTGATAGGGACAGAACATGACACCAGCATTGTTTCTGAAAAACTAAGAAATTGTTAAACAATTTCGTACTTTCTAACTGAAAATCTGTGCACTTGCATGGGATTCGGAAGTAGAAATTACATTAAGATGTTGAGAGGAAGGTTAAGAGCGATGAAGTTATCGGCAAAGGTCTTGACGGATTTAAGGGAAGCTAGGTCGAGTTTCAGAACATCGAGTCGAGCAGTTTTGTTATCCTTTAAAATGAGTTGTTTCGCTTCATTTGCAGCCTCCATGTTTCTTGCCGCAATGATAACATGTGCATTCCTCAAGGCCAAGACTCTTGCTGTCTCAAAACCTATACCGCTTGCACCACCTGCAATTACACAAGTTTGTATCTGAACAATCATTTTTCTATGTTTTGCAAAGATTATGTGATTCGGCGCACATTTGACTGAGCTTAAAAGTAGCTTAAAATCAACTTTTTTTTTTGAAAGCGTATCTCTACACAATCAAAGTAGACTAGCCCTATACAATTGAGGATTGAACAGTGTGTGCTTGAAAATAGCTTAAACCTACCAAGGGCCTTTCTATTTTACAAAATGGTGATTGTGGCCAAAGTTTCCAAAATGGGTTTTTGGGACCCTTGGACGATTTGGATTTTTGGAAAGTGTTACTATAAAAATTGAGGGGAACAATTCAAGTAGATAAATCTGTTTGCTAATTTCATACTTACTTTTAATTTTTTTAATTCTTAAAATATCTTTTTTTTCTATTTTAACGATAAATGTGACCGAGCTCTTTGAACGTGAACTTGACCGGGCCACCCGAGTCCATTTGCACGACAATATAGAGATGAAATTTTGATCTCAAAAAGAGAGAGAGTGATATTATTTGGCCCATACTTGTGGACGGGGATGGATCCATGATCGTATTACAAGTCGGGTTAATACGTAAAAAAAATAAAATTACACATGATTTATTTTTTTTTACATATCATTATATAACTATTTATGTACAAGTGACATTATTCTTCTTTATTTGCCATCCTCGTTCATTTAAGGTGCATTTAATTTTTCGGTAAAGTTTAGTTTCAAACCCATGCTGCATGTGTTTTTGTGGGTACAACAAAAAGACAGCTCTCTTCGTGTTTGACACGGATTAAAAGTCACTTTCGTAAAAATTAAATTAAGGCTTATTTTTATAATAATAAATTTTGTTAATAAAAACATAACTTTAAAAGTTATGTTCAACAAAATAAATAACGATCTAGGTCCTATATGGCCGATTATTACACAGAATAAGTTGTAAAATTCGTGTAAATGTTTAAATCGATAAATATAACACAAAGGCTAATGCGTTGTTTTTCATGAACGAAAAAAGGAATTGGACTCAAGACATTTGCTATCTCGACATCACATCACGAACAATAAAAAAAAAAAATCCATCCCCGGAAACAAGATATTATTGATATACAATCAGATTTTTATAATCTAAGTTAAAATCTGCAGATTTTTTTCATGTAAATGTAAGTGTTCTAACCTGTGATAAGAAGAGTGAGATTGGTGGCATCAATCCCTTGAGTGACTTGTTCAGCAGTCGAAGCTGATCCAAATCCACTGTGGCCTGCGATTCCTGTTATCAACCTAAACATCCTTTCCTTCTGTCAGTTCTGTGAGACGCTGAGTTGAGAAAATGAAAGCTCAACTATACAAGGGAAATGGAGAGAATTAATGAGGATGATGAGGCATATTATAAGGTGTGAAAAAGCCAGAAGAAAGCAATGGTACAGTTGTGCGAGTATTAAAATGGAAGTTATTAATGTTTGGCAGATTATAAGTAATTAATTTGGTGAATGAGGACATAACATAATGATATGATAATAGGTTGCCGGATTCAATATTAAGGGCACGTTTGACGGGAATTTTACTTTTTACTTATTATAGAAGAGCTTTTTATGAAAGCTACCATAAACTAACATTCTCTAAAAAGTTGTCTAGTCACACAAAAACATTTCCAAAAAATTATCCAAACAAGAAGATCTTAATTTCAGAAACAACTTTTGACTTTTCAAAAAGTCATAGTAAATGTACCATAAATACCTCAACAACCTTTCACGGTAAAAACTAAAAAGTCGAGTCAAGTTGGTGTACAAAAATACTGACTAGTTTGGCTTGAACCAACCAGTTTTAAATATGAACAAATTGGTTCTAGTCGATCTCAACAGTTTCAAAATTTTCAATAATTGGTTATAACCCGACTAGTTTCTCAATTTTCCGTTCGACTTGATGGTCTATTTGAATTTTTATAATAATAATACAAGGACTCAACATTAATCCAAAAAATTGTTTGCTACAGTAAGATTCTCCACCACACATTCACTCAATAAAATATTCTACACACAAACCAATAAAAAGTTACTTTAATTTTTAACCACACATTCTTCAAAAAATACTATTCATTGCACTAATTTTCTCCCTATAATGGGAGACAAACAAGCTCTTAATTATTCGAATTAAAATATTGTATAATAACGTCGAACATAATTCTGTACTTGAAAGGACATTTAATGATGTAGTAAATTCCATTGTAACTTTTTTTTGAGTAATGCTACTTACAGTCGCTCACTGTAGCAGTTTTCTATGTGGCACACACATGGCATGTAGTTATTTGATGCATTAATGTGGTAGTTTTTGACCACATTTAATGTATCAAATACACACTTGACATGTGTGTGCCACATAGGCGACTGCTGCAATGAGCGACTGCAAGTAGCATTATTCTTTTTTTTTTCCTTACTTTACATTCAGTCCGTGTTTGTTTAGCATTAGTTCTTTAGATTTAGAAAAATTCCAACCATTGCAATTCAAATTCAACCATCATTTTTGACTATTTATCTCACAGTTGGGACCCACATTTGAAACTACCGGTGCTTTTTTTTCCTTGAGTATAGGAATTTTTGACAGAAATTTGAAATGCTTCAATCCCGTCCATGTGTGTGTGTGTATTTTCCCTCCTCCAATCTTTCAATCATTTCCCTTCATCTCACATTTCTGTATGTTTTCTGTGAAAAATTCATGTACTCATAACAGGGTTCTTTTTTCTACTTTCCAGCTGTTTAATACTAAACAAACAAGGTGTCAATCTATCTTACTAAATTTGTGAAATGAAACACAAAATAAAGAAGTAAATTTTATAAATTACTCAGACACAGCAACAATCTGAGTTGGTACCGGCGAACTTCGATTTTTCAGACAGAATTTAAAATAAAAAATAAAATTAAAGTAAACAAATTTCTAAATTTAATAAATAAAATAAGTGAGATAGTCAATATTTCACACGTGTTTTAAAATTGCTATCAAGTTTTTTCTTAAGGCCTACTAAATTTACAAGGATAGCAACAACTAAAATATTTCACAAGGCTTTAACTAAAATATCAGTGATGGAACCCTAATAGATTTAACTATAACATAAATTTGATGAAGAAAAAACAATAAAATCGAGGAGAAATTAATCTCCATTATTACTTCTAAAATCTTCGAAAAACAATGTATAATAAATGGTAAAGTGCGCTGAAAAAATTGATATTTGAAATTGAAAGGAGTAATACTATTCATCATCCAATGAAGTTGAAATGCATTTTAATTTGTTGAAGGATAAAGCTACTTTTGCCAGCTTGACATAATTGTACGTGACA